GGACAAGAAGAAGTGGGGGAAATGAAGGGGAAAAGGACTAAAAAGGGACCATCTGGAACATAGGAATAACAACGGGTCTAACCCTCCACCATACTTATAGTTTTTCTCCATTCCGTTCTAAGACATACTGTCCGCCAATCTATATCTCACTCCATTAAATCTTGTTTTACTACTTTCCCCCAAGTAAGCTTTGGCCTACCTATGCCTCCTTTTGTGTTTAGCTCTTGGTAACAAACTTCTGTTCTTACAGGAGCATCCATGGGTCTTCTCATCACGTGCCCAAACCACCTCAATCTATGTTCTCTCATCTTCTCGGCTACCGGTACTACTCCGACCTTTCGTCGAATATCTTCATTTCTTATCTTATCCATCCTTGTGTAACCACACATCCACCTTAACATGTACAAAATATATACATGCCATATACAAGTATTGGATCAGACATCATGATCCACCAAAAAGAATGGAATACCAAATAACCAGAATATACTCCAAAATAGCAGTAGCCTACAGCTACTCCAGAATCTGGTTCGTCGCAGCACCTCTAACCACGGGTCGTGTCCCTGCCTAGTGAGGGCTCACCGGAAATCTGAGATCCTGAAATGATGTCCCCAAAAGGGGTGAGATAACAAATCTCAATAAGCTCTAGGTTTATAGAGAATTCTCCATACACCTAGGCTCACTACTGCATGAAAGTCAGATACAGCGTATACAAAGCAACATATAACAGATATCATCACTAAACAAAATATATATACATATCTTATCAGAGGCGTACGCAGTCATTCCCAAGGGAGGACCCCATACGAAAATTAACGCACGTGTTCCCAAGGGATGACCCTAAGCGGAACCAGAATATATATCAGAGGTGTGCACAGTCAGTCCCGAGGGATGACCCCAAGCAGACATCAATGTATCAGAAATCAATACAGAAATCACATCAGAACAAAACATATCATGTGATCAAATAACTCTATATGAATGCATCTATACCAGGTATCAATACAGTCACACAATCCAACCATAGTTCACCAACCATGGTGGAGTACTCAAGCAGAAAAATACTCCTTAAACATAGAGCTTACCTCTTGGAGCTTTACAATTTGTTTACGTGAAGAACAAGCTTCTTATCTTTATCCCCGAGAGTCCAAACGTTCACAGTCCCTAGGCACTCCTAGAGAAGGAATTTAACACAAAACTCAATAAAATGATATAATGTCATGTAAATATACAAGACACACACTTTATTGTTTACTTTCTTTTTACTTAATCATATTAGGCCATGAGTGGGTGATTCTTCGTTCAACAAATCCCCATAAAATTTCATATATTCACTTAGTCTTAGGATAGTCCCAAAAGGCCGTTAGAACACTCATTACTCGTCTTAGCACCTAAAAGCCTATTTTTCCCAATTTAAGACAGAGTGCCCATTACAAAGGAGCTATAAGATTTCTCTCTGTCTAGTGCCTAAACCCAAGCTTAGCCACCTATATAAATTATTTTACGAATAAAAGTGTTCTCACTTGATGAAACAGTAACTCCAAACATATACCTCCTTTTGAAATGGCCAAAACTCATTTTAAGGCCATACAAAGGAGCTACCTTATTTTTTTTTTATTTCACCAAAGCGAAGGTCCATACACCTTAGAATATTATTCTACGCATAACAGTATGCTCGCTTTGCAAAACAGTAACTCCTAGCACATACCTCCTTTGCAAATGGCCATAATCACCTATAAGGCCTAAATAAGGAACTTACTCATTTTCCTCTTTATCTAACCCAACCAAAGGTTTAAACATCTAATTATATAGTCCTTACACCGTATAAGTACTCATTATCACAAACAAGCATTCTAAAAACATACTTCCTTTGTAAATGGCTAAGAGGCTCATAAAGGAAATCATGTCAATTTCATGATTCCAATGCTTTAGTCTATAAAATTCAAGCTTATCATACAATCATAATCATCATTAGGTAATAAAACCCCCTTTTTGCACATTAATTTATCCATTTATGCCTCAAAACATAAGACACCACTAAGCGTCATTCAATTAATCCACTCAATTCACAACTTACATATACATATAAACCTTCACAAAGTGTCCAATTATTTTTTGAACATTAAACCCTAATTTTTAACACATGGCTTAACCTAGTGGGAGGAGGTGCAAGAGACTTTTTCAAACTTTCAACACATTCATACTTATTTAACACTATAACATCATAAACCATGCTAACTCATCATCAATTTCAAATTCCAAGCTCCAAAATTTTCCATAACATATTCTCATAATATTCAAAACTTAAATCATATAAATCAAACCATTAAAATGAGGATTTCTTACCTCAAATCGTTTATCCAAGGTCCAAGGAACAAAACCCAAGCTTGGTTTCACTCAAAAATCAACTTCTCTCACTAGGAGGAATAGTGACCAAATTTTTTGGAGGAGAGAGCTCCTCACACAAGCATTTTTCAGCCCCAAAAAAATGGGTGAAATGGATTCCTTGGATGATTTACTATCAATTTCGTGTAATGGACTTTTGCATTTGGATGATTGTGTGGTGAGAAATCGAAGAAAAGAAAAGGAAAACCTAAGTTGGTTTCTATTGAAGATGTAACAGCCCCAAACCCTGTAGCATGATATTGTCCGCTTTGCCCCGCGCACAAGCACCGTCGAGCTCACGATTTTGTTTCTTGGGACACCCCACAAAAGGCCTCACACTAGAAGAGGTATCCACACCCTTATAAGGCATGCTTCGTTCCCCTCTCCAACCGATGTGGGACATTACATCCTCCCCCACTGGGAATACAGCGTCCCCGCTGTACACACCGGTCCAGGGCCAGGCTCTGATACCAAATGTAATAGCCCCAAACCTTGTAGCATGATATTGTCCGCTTTGCCCCGCGCACAAGCATCGTCGAGCTCACGGTTTTGTTTCTTGGGACACCCCACAAAAGGCCTCACACTAGAAGAGGTATCCACACCCTTATAAGGCATGCTTCGTTCCCCTCTCCAACCGATGTGGGACATTACAGAAGAAAGACGGCAGTGACCGGCACACACTAAAAGAAGGAAATAGAAAGGTCACGGTTTCTTAGTGCTTTATTTTAAGTTACTTTTTAACTGGGTAACAGCTTATCTATCTACACACCTCCATTCAATACCAAACTTTACCCAATGAACTAGAATATTTTTCCAGTCATATTTCTAACTTTACTTTTGTATTCTGGGTAATTTTTCCTACACACATTTTTACCATAAAAATATCATTGACTGTACTTTTTACCTTAAAAGTAACCCTAATTTATTTAATTAGGTCTTTTACTTAATTTAACCCATTTATGCATGATTAAATATTTAGTCACAAACCCCCAAGGGTAGCTCAGTTGGCAGCTGAGCTCCCAAGGGATTGCTTGGTGCAGGGATCAAACCATGCCTCAAGCAGTTTCTTGGAAAATCTTTGAGGGCCAGAGGATAAGTCAAAAAATCTCCGGTTGAGGGATTAGTCTCGTCCTTTCTCCGGTTGCGAAGCTTAGTGCACACACTGTTACAATGAGGGGCTAGCCCAAACGGGCCGTACCCCGAGGGCATGGTGCCCGGAGAAGGTTGAATGGGGATACCTCCTGGCATTGTACCAAAAAAAAAAATTAATCACATGTCATTTTTTAATTAAACGGGTTAGGGATATTATAGTAAAATTACTGTATTTGCTGAAAACTACTAAAATTTCACTTTTCTCTCGTAAGTGATTTTAACTCATTAATTAGATTTCTTATCTAATTAATCCTCTTAAACATGGCAAAAACCGTAACTTCTCACTTTACTAGTATGTGTTATTATACATCCACTTCAAATACATTAGACTATAGGAAGAATTATTAGCTTGATTCTCAGCTTAATATTAAACTTAATTATTAATCATATATTCAGATTCAACCTCTTTTTCGAACTTCAAAATTTGTTGATTGGTTCCAAAACCAATTCTAGCAATATTAACTCTTTAGAAATTATTTCACAAATTATGTTACTAGCAAAAGCAATCCACTTGCAATATCTCTATTGAATCAGTCTTTTAACAAAAGATGAGTTTTCTACTTATTTGATTTCCACGTTTTCCAATTTTTTTAATATCCATTTTTATTAAAATCAATGTTAAAACTGTTCCAAAATTATTGTAAGACTCGCTTTCTTATTCAATTTTGATTAATGCTTTTGTCTCTCCTTTTGCTTGTTTCATTTTAATTTTTGTGTAATACAGTTATTTGAAAAGAGAATGTAAAAATATCACCGAATATACACCAAAAGGACTTGTTTTCATTCTCCTTTAAATGTTTTTTCCAAAAAAAAAAAAAAAAAAAAAATGGTGTAAAAAACAATCAAATTTTTTCTCTCATTTTGTTAGGTATGATTCATAATTCGCATATTGTGGTGTGGTGAATACAGTACAGACGAAGCTAGGCGTAACTTACATTAACTTACATTGAAGTTTTGATTTGTGTAATCGTCGATTTCCAATACATTTCTCGGAAACCTACTCCAGAATTCCATTCACTCTGGGAACAAAGGCAATTTGTCGCTTTTATTAGTTTAATCACTTCACCTTGATCGACCAAACAAACTAGACTTGCTTAAACGTTGCATTATAATCAATTAAGAGAACAAAGCACCAACGTTAGTAAATAAATAAAATCCACTTGCATCTATTTTATTGATTCAGCAAACCTTTTCTGAATCCATAGGTATTTTCTTAATGGCTGTAATGATTGTCTTGTTGGGAAGACTCTCCAGTTATTGGTTGGCCGGCCATCACAGTAAAGCCATCGTTGAGAGAATAGCTAATTGGCATTAACTCGCTTTTCAGAAACTAAATATAATTAGATGAGAATAACTAAATATAATGTTTATCAGCTCTATCTGCATTGAATCATTCTCATAAACTGCACTTCGAATTCCATATCCTTTCTCCTTTTCGATTCCATCACTCCCTTTTTCCTACCATGGCTGGAGCATTTGTTGGTGGTGCCCTTCTTTCTGCTTTCCTTCAAGTGGCAATTGACAGGCTGGCTTCTCCTGAAGTTGTGGACTACTTTCGAGGAAGAAAACTCAATGAGAAGCTGCTGAACAGGTTCAACAGCAAGCTGCTTTACATCAATGCTGTGCTTGATGATGCAGAACAAAAGCAGATCAGAAACCAACATGTGAAGACCTGGCTTGATAAGGTCAAAGATGCTGTGTTTGAAGCAGAAGATTTGGTCGATGAAATAGACACTCAAGTCACCAAATGCAAGCTGAAAGCCGAGTCTCAGATCAATACTAGCAAGGTATGGACTTTCTTCAGTCGAGTTTCTGTTAGTTCATTTGACAAGGCAATTAAATCGAGGATGGAAAAAGTCCTTGACAACCTAGAATATCTTGCAAGCCAAAAGGATATACTAGGTTTGAAAGAAGCTAGTGGTTTTGGTCTTGGTCTTGGATCAGGAAGTCAAGTGTCACCAACTTTGCCAACATCATCTTTGCTAGGTGAAACTGTTGTATATGGTAGAGATGATGACAAAGATATTATCTTTAATTGGCTGACATCTTATGCTCAGAATGATAACAAGCTATCAATAATTTCTATAGTGGGTATGGGCGGGATGGGTAAGACCACACTTGCCCAACATTTATACAATGATCCAAGGATGGATGGTGAATTTGATCTCAAGGCTTGGGTCTGCGTTTCAGATGAATTTGATGTTTTTAAGTTGACAAGAGCTATTCTTGAGGCAATCACTAGATCAACTGATGATGGCAGAGACTTGAATATGCTTCAAGAAAGATTGAAGGCAAAATTAACAGAAAAGAAATTTCTTCTGGTTTTGGATGATGTCTGGAACGAAAACCGCATGCAATGGGAAGCTTTGCAAACTCCTCTTAATTACGGGGCCCGGGGAAGCGAAATTCTTGTCACCACACGCAGTAAGCAAGTTGCTTCAGCTATGCGATCAGACAAAATGCATAGCCTCGAGCAATTACAAGAAAAACATTGCTGGCAATTGTTTGCTAAACATGCATTCCAAGATGAAAATACTCAGTTAAACCTTGAGTTCGAGGAGATTGGCACAAAAATAATTGAAAAATGCAAAGGATTGCCTCTGGCCTTGAAAACAATTGGAAGTCTCTTATATGGAAAATCATCAATTTCGGAATGGAAAAGTATACAAACAAGCGAGATATGGGATTTACCGGAAGAGGATAGCAATATTATCCCTGCTTTGAGACTGAGCTATCACCACCTTCCTTCTCATCTGAAGAGATGCTTTGCTTACTCTGCCTTATTCCCCAAAGATCATATATTTGAAAAGGAGTATTTGATTCTATTATGGATGGCTGAAAATTTTTTACAATGTCCTAAACAAGGTAAGAGCATAGAAGAAGTTGGTGAACAGTACTTCGATGATTTATTATCGAGGTGTTTTTTTCAAAGATCAAATGGAGATGAAATGCTTTTTTTCATGCATGACCTTCTCAATGATTTGGCCAAATATGTAAGCGGGGATTTTTGTTTCAGGTTGGAAGTTAAGGAAGCACAAAATATATCAAAAATGACTCGTCATTTTTCGTTTGTAACTAAGCATTACTATTATTTTGAAGTGCCTGAGGGTTTATGTGATGCTAAAAGGTTACGTACATTTCTCCCATTGAGTGAAATTTCCGAAGACAGATATTTTTCTTATTGGGAGTCTAGAATGTGGGTGCATAACTTGCTCTCCAAGTTGAAGTTCTTACGTGTCTTTTCTTTGCGTGGTAATCGCAATGTAAAAGAGTTGCCTGATTTTATATGCAATCTTAAATTACTCCGTTATTTGGACCTTTCGGGTACTGCAATCAGAAAGCTACCTGATTCCATATGTTTGCTCTACAACTTACAAACACTGAAGTTGTCATGTTGTCACAATTTGGAAGAGTTGCCCTTGAATTTGCATAAACTCACAAATTTGCGTCACCTTGATTTAGATGGAACTGAACTGAGAAAGATACCACCGCATTTGGAGAAATTAAAGAATCTACAAGTATTGTCTACATTTTACGTGGGCAAAGGTAGCGAGTCCAATATCGGGCAATTAGGAGAACTCAATCTCCATGGATCACTCTCAATTTCGGAGTTGCAGAATATTGTTAATCCCTCGGATGCATTAGCAGCGAATTTGTTAAATAAAATACACCTTGTGAATCTACATTTAGCATGGAGTGAAAAAAGCCATGATGATTCACAGAAAGAAAGGGAAGTACTCGAGAAGCTACAACCTTCCAAACACTTGAAAAAGCTGTCACTGACAAACTACGGTGGTACACGATTTGCAGATTGGTTTGGAGATAATTCATTATCCAATGTGGTGTCCTTAAAGTTGATCAACTGTAAAAATTGTATCTTGCTGCCCCCCCTTGGACTTCTGCCATATCTCAAGAATCTGTCAATTAAGGGGCTCCATGGGATAGTGGTTGTTGATGCTGAATTTTATGGGAGTAGCTCTTCTTCTTCTGCTGTTTCATTTCAATCCCTCGAAACCTTAAGCTTGGGCGATATGAAGGGATGGGAAAAGTGGGAATGTAAACTTTTGACGAGTGCTTTTCCACGTCTTCGAGAGCTTTGTATAGAGAATTGTCCCAAGCTGAAAGGGCACTTGCCGGAGCAACTTATTTGTTTAACGAAACTAGTTATTTATGAATGCCGACAGCTTGAGGCCTCTGTTCCCTGGGCTCCAACCATTGAAGAATTACAACTAGAGCATTGTGGAAAGGTGCAATTTGATTATCATCCATCTACTTTGAAAAGTTTAAAGATTGTTGGACGCTGCATGGAAGGATCTTCGCTTGAAAGGATTGGGCACAACAGTCTTGAAAAGTTGCACATTCATGATTGCCCAAATATGAATATTCCCATAAACCATTGCTACAATTTCCTTGTAGAATTGTGGATCATGAGTAGCTGTGAATCTCTAAGGACCTTTCCGCTGGATTTCTTTCCAAAACTCCGTTTGCTCTGTTTATTCGGTTGTATTAATCTTGAAATGGTTTCACAGGAGGAGCATGGCGGTAATCTCACATCTCTTACTCGCCTTGAAATAATTGATTGTCCACAACTTGAGTCGTTCTGTGGTGAAGGTTTGCCATCAAACCTAAGACATCTGCGTCTCTCCAAATGCTCCAAGCTTATGGGCTCACTGAAATGGCCTTTGAGAACAAACACTTCTCTAGTTTCCTTGCAAGTTGAAAAAGTGGATGTGGAGTCTTTTCCTGATCAAGGGTTGCTTCCTGTCTCTCTTAATAGTCTATGGATCAAAGATTGTCAAGATCTTATAAAACTGGACCACAATGGTCTCTGCAACCTCTCCTCTCTTACTGAATTGTGGCTTCAAGACTGCCCCAGACTCCAATGCTTACCGGAGGAAGGTCTGCCCAATTCCATTTCATCTCTAACCATTAGGGGCAATTGTCCGTTGCTCAAACAGCGTTGCCAGAAACCCAATGGTCAAGATTGCGGGAAAATTACCCACATTGAACACGTATACATTGATAATGATTATTGATCAGGTACCTACTCTACCACATGAATTTATGTTTTATTTTTATTTTTATTTTGTTTGGACACAATGATTGGCATTGAGATTCGAACTTATAACTTCATGCAAACTATTGGAACCTTCATCACGATGGTAGTTAAAATCTCGATTTAAATCTGTGATTTTATGATTTTACGATTTTTTTTAATCAAAACGATTTCATCAAAATTCCAAATACTTTTACGATTTTTTTTTTACGTTAGGATTTTACGTTTTACGATTTTTTATTCTTCTTCCAATTTTAAGTAAACTCCCAATTTTAACTACTATGCTCACCACTGGAACAATCCTAATGACTTTAATTAGAAATACTGGGCCATATATTCACTCTCTAGATAGCAACTAAAAAACAGCGCAAGTTACACCTAAACTTATTAATATATGTTGAACCAGGATGGCTTAATCTATATAGATTTGGTGACTCGAAATAATATTCTATTAAGTTTCATATATGTTGTTGATATATCTCAACTAAAGCGCAGACAGATTTAAATTAGAATAGTATCATCCACCTTTTCATATTTGGTTTTATATGCAACAATTTCTATTATCATTATGCCGCTGTTGAAGATGAAATTCCAACCAAATATGCTGTTTGTATCTAGTGTTCATGCCAGGAAAATGGAGAAGGTGGTGAAGCTTGGCCAACTACACAATGGTTTGGGCCTTGATTCAATAAAATGAATCATGGAATATTTATTGACTAGTTTCTTAGTTACTTGTTTTTTTAGAGTTTTGACAATTATTGTTAATTAGTCAATTAGTAGTTAATGTTTAAGTTGTTAGTTTGTAATTTTTATTATTTGGTTAATTTATGTTAATTGGCCATTTGGTTAATGGCTTACCGGGTTTTGTAATTATTGTTTATTTATTGTGAGTCATTTTCTTAGTTATTATTAATGATTGAGTTAGTAATTATTTAGTTATTTAGTAATTAATAATGTTGTTATTTTATAATTTTTTATTGTTATCTATTATTAATAATAATTTAGCATTTTAGTGTTAATTAAGTATATGACATACGCCTCTGCGTTCTATTAATTCTGGTCCTTGGACTTTTCAAAATTTACATATAACCGAAGCAAGTATGGAAATGAATAAAAATATAGGGCCTTGGAATGAGTCCTATTAGTTCTTATACTAATACCGAATTCCATTAAAACATCAAGTTCCTAAACTAATACGTGAGATCCACTTTTTGTGTCAAAATAAGTCAACTTGCATAACAAATTTACTCAAAAATTACAAATTGACATTGCAAGTGTATTTTATACAAGTAGATCATACTACCTGTAGTCTGTAATATTAATTACAATATCCACGGTGTACATTTCATGGAAATAGATCTCTGATGTGAGAAAAAACATGATATGATCATGTGAGAAGATCACAACCATACAAACTTAAATCAATGGTTATGATTTTGTAATTACCTATTTTACTATTTTTTCTCTCTCCTCTTTTATTATCGTTGATTCATCTTTGTATGGTTATGATTTCTCACTTTATCATGTAATGTGATTTTTCACATCAGAGAATCCGGATCCACATTTCATAGTTTATAAGATGTGGGATTTGAATTCTTTCATGTGAAAAAAGTAGTCATGTCGTTATGTTATTTGATCACAATCACTCATTACTCATTGATCATAAGATAAGAGAGCGAAAAATATATGATTTTAAAATGAGTAGTTGTGATGAAATAACATGATCATTTTTTCACGTGAGAGAATCCAAATCCATAAGATGTGAGCTTCTATTATATTTGAAACCAAAATCAGTACATCGTCAAATAAAAGCATGTGAACCAACCGAATTGTACCTAAATATGGTGGCCCTATATATAGATCAGGGATAACCATCAAATGTCGTGATCTTTCAAACCAAAATCAGTACTCTATGAAATCTTTCCAATAAGCATCGCCTGCTTCCTCATCCATGAAATCTCCCCAACTTTCAAAGGTGGAGGAAGAAGGGTTAGAGCACTCCTTTGGGTTTACAATGTTTTCAAGTGAGGCTGAAACCAGTGTTGGAAGCGAATTTGATGGCGTAGGAGCAGCATTTGTAAAACCAAGTTGATCATAAAAGTTTTGAGATTCCCTGTTACTACTATTTCTGCCTCCATTCAAGATTTGTGCTGGCTAGGGATGTGAATGGGTCGGGTCAGGTCAAGACAGATTTTTGTGCCGATTCTACTCAATTTGGTTTTTATAGGTCAGGTATTTTGACCCGACCCGCTTTAATTTGATCCAAGTCAGGTCTGACTAAGTTTGGATTTTTTCGAACTAGTTCAGAACCGGATCGGATCTGACCTGACTTGATTTCTGAAGTAAGTCTGACTTGGTTTCTGAAGTGGGTCAAATCCAACCTGACCCGTTTTTGACTTGGTTTCATCACAAAATTTCATCGAAATTTCTACGCTGCAAACGACGAAAATTTCATCACAAAATTATTTTTTCGTCGAAATACTTTTTGTTGAAAAGAGACAATTTTTCTCTAATGAAAATTTTTACGGAAATAAATTTTCTATCAAAATTTAGTTTCCGTCAAAAGTTTTGACAAAAACGATTTCCTCCATCAAATGTTTTAAACAAAAAAAGAATTCCGTAAACAATTTTGACGGAATGTTTTTCGTTCAAAATTTCAATAGGAATGTGTTCTGACGAAAATTTCGACCGAAATTATTTTGAGGGAAATGTTTCATTCGAAACTTTCGACGAAATTTAGATTCTCTAAAGAATTTTGACATAATATTTTTTTCGTCAAAATTTTTTATCAAAATATTTGTTATTAAAAATTTTTACGAAAATTTTTAACAGAAATGTGTTCCGTTGAAAATTTTGATGGAAATATTTTTTATCAAAAAACTTGACGAAAATATTTATTCAAAAAATTTCGATGGAAATATGTTTCGCTAAAAGTTTCGACGAATTTTTTTTTTGTCAAAAAGTTTAACGAAAATGTTTTCGTTAAAAACTTTCACTGAAATTTGAATTCTATAAAGAATTTTGATGAAATTTTTTTCCGTCAAAAAATTTCGATGGAAATGTGTTTTGTCGAAATTTTTGATGAATATGTTTTTTGTGAACTATTTTGACGAAATTTAGATTCCGTAAAAAAATTTGACAAAAAAATTTTTCCGTCAATTTTTTTCACATAAATGTTTTTAGTCACAAATTTTGATGAAAATATTTTTCGTCAAAAATTTTGCGAAAAATTTTGATGGAAATATTTTTCATAAAAATTTTGACGTAATTGTTTTATGTTAAAATTTTTCTTTTAATGTAATTGTGATTTTCTTTTTCTTTTTTTTCACATAAAGGGTATGGGTCAAGTTTTGGGTCAATGGGTCATTATTAAAACAATTCAGGTCTAAAAGTGACCCAAATAAAAGTGGTTCAGTATTTAAACTCAGTTCAAAAAAAATATAGATATTTATGGGTCAGGTCAAGGTCAGATCAAGGGCAGGGCAAGTGAATCAGTTTTTTGCACACCCCTAGTGCTGGCTGCTGAGGGGCTTCAATGTTTTGGAAATTGGGTTCAATTTGAGAAGAAAAACCAATTGAAACATTATAAAGGTTTTCGAGGTTAGTGTGATTCAATTCTAAAACATCACTTAGCAACGGCAGTGAGTTTAATGATCCAAAAGGATTGAGTGGATCCAATTTTGAGGCAGGACTAGTACCCATGACTTGAAGTATGTTCTCCGGCAAGTGGAGTCTGGCTACTAGTGTGGCATCTAACTATAGCCTTATAGCATTCATATCATAAGAATTTGTGAAACTGCTTACAATATTATGGAGGTTAGATTGATTCAATACTAAAACATCATTTACCAAACTTCCTGGAAGTGAGTTTGATGATCCAAAAGGATAGTGTGCATCTTAAGTTTTGAGGAAGGACCAATACCAATGACTTGAAGTATCTTCTCCAGCAAGTGGAGTTTGGCTACTTGTGTGGCATCTGGTTGTAGCCTTAAATCATCAATGTCACAAGGATTTGCAGCAGCCAATATCTGTTGTAGATTGTTGGCAATGTATAGGTGCTCTGATCTTGGACGGTGGGTCACTGGGTATAACCCCATTTGCAGAAGCTTTTTCTTTAAATGGGTGTTCCAGAAATTCTTAATTTCATTATCAGTCTTCCCCGGGAAATGAGTTGCTATAGCCGCCCACCTAATAAAGGAAATGCAGCATGTTCATATGATCAATTAATCATCACTTTATTTGTATAAAATCTCCATAAAATTAATTTAACAAAATAGTGATAGAAATAACTCCCCATCTAGAGTTTGTTGGGAGAATTTTATTAATAAACAACAGAGAAAATACAGAAATATAAGAGCAAATGCTCCCTGCAAGGAGTAGATCCCCTTGCCCCAGTGATAGGAATTTAACCCTCTTATCAAAGAGGGAGACAATTTGTATATTAATGAAAATTGAAACGATTATAGAAATTGTTGCAATAGAAACGATAAAGAGCCAGAGCTCCCAGCTATGGAGATCACTGCACTAGCCTTTCTACACCAGTAGAAAATTAACAGAAATAATGTCTACCTTCTACCCACGCTCTCCACTCCATATAAACGTCTAAAAGTAATAACAAACAACAACAAACTACACCTCCCACTCTCTCACCATAACTGTCATTACAATGCTGATAAGAACCAATTTATTACACGTCACACAATTTCCCTTCCCTTATTCCTATTCCTCCTTTGGTAAACCAACATTAGGTCAGTTCTTCTTCCCTGCTTGGGCTGCTCCTCTCCTCCTATGTATGGGCCTGCTGTTGATGGGCTGCTTGTTGTAGCACTTGTTGGTGGGCTGCTTGTTATAGCATTTATCCTATCAATACCACCCTCTATAGCTACTGCCTTGTCAAGGCAAAAGTTAGGAAATTTCCCTTTAACATCACTGGCTTTCATCCAGGTAGCCTCTTCAACTGGTTTGGATTTCCAAAGAATC